ACATGGCTCTTCCAGCAAGCGGACCTGACCTAGGGTGGATTTTACATTGGGTTTTAAATATTCGGAAGACGCAACATTAAAATTCGGTTTAATTCGGTTTTAAGGGGGGATTGTATATATGTTCTGGTTTTAAATATGTTGTGCGCCGCCCTGAGTCCCTGTCGGGAGAAGGGCGGCATATAAATTAAATTAAATAAAATAAATAAAATAAATAAATAAAATTCTCTCTCCTTTGAACAAAATGTTGAAAGCTATTCTGGTAAGACTGAATTGCTGCTTGCAAAGCAAAATGACAAGGGTGCTTTAATAGGATAAACTGAATAATCTATCTGGAGAAGAGGCTCTCTAAGTGAGGGAAAATAAAGAGGGCTATACAGAATCCCAGTGATGAAGTTCAGGCTGGTTTAGGAGCAGGGCACTGAACCTGTCCTTGGTGCTGACCTCAACAACATATTAGAAAGCAGCCTCTAGCAAAATTGGCTTTTCCCAAATACTCCCCATAATGACCTAACTGGAGATGCAGCAAACTATCTTCCTTTGTTCAGCAGCTCATAGTGATTGCAAAAATGCAGGCAGAGGCTGATTAAGATCAGCATTAGGGGAAAAGATGATCCATAAAAATGTTATTTAAGAGTTCAGATAAATGCAAGATCCACTCTGAGTCAGTTCAGAGGTCTACTTTTCTGAGTGTTTGGATTCGTGATGGAGTCCATCTTCTAGGAACTTCTCTCTGCGCTTTCGGCTATTGTCTGTGTGGTATTTATACGGTGCCTGTTGTATATCGCTTTTTAGATGTTGATTGGGGTGTTGATGGCTGACTATTAAGATCAGCAACTTTATGTCATGGTTCCAACAGATAAAACTCTTCAAAGAACTTCGAGGCATTGTTTACCTTAAAGAATCTTTATTTTGAGTAGCATAGCATCGGCAGTCCATAATCGAAGCCAAAAACTAAATTCCTCTCCCCTGAGCATATAGTATCAAAGGACAATTATCTCCTCCAATTAACAGTCATAAATCACATTCCCCAATTAGCATGAAGCGCGGGATTCCTCTCCTGTTCTCCAGCCCGCCAATTTCTTATCAGCTCTGGTTACAATAACCTTGTTTCTCACACTGGGTCCAGCGTTGTTATGTCTAGCTGGACTCTCACTCACATTCCCCCTCCCAGCATCATCTAATTCTAAAAGCAAAAGGTAAAAGATGGCTACATTTCCATTTGTTTTCAATGCAAAAACATCCGATGTTAGCAGCGTTGACATCCGGCCCCTCTTACAAAAAGGATAAATCCTGTAATATAAACAAAAGCACAGGTTAGGGATTGCCTCTTGGTTTGTTAGGGTGTTTCTTATAAAACCTAGTAATGAGTCTATCAGCTTTCACATCGCTAGACTTCACCGAAGTGGCTTCAGACAACGAATATCTTTCCATTGTACTAAATACTGCAATTTCCCTTTAAAAATTCTAGAATCAAGAATACGCTTTACTTCATAGTGAGTCTGTCCTGCCATCACAAGGGGTCTGGGTGCCTTCTTAAGGGGAGGTCTTAAAGTGGAACCCAATAAGGTTTCAATAGGCTGCAATGGAAAACAGGGTGAATTTTTCCTAAGAGCTTAGGGAGTTTTAATTCCACTGTGACTGGGTTAATGATCTTTACTATGGGGAAAGGTCCCAAGAACTTCGGTCCTAACTTCTTACTGGGTAACTTGAGCTGTAAATACTTAGTTGACAGATAAACCTTTTCCCCAATTTGAAATGTTCTTTGAGGAGCCCTTTTTTATCTGCCTGCTTTTTATATGTCTCAGAAGCATTTTTTAAAGCAGTCTTTATGGTTTTCCAAACTTCTTCCCAACCCTTCACCCATTTATCAAGTGTCTGGGAAGTGGAGGGCACCTGCGGGTATTCGGGTATCGGGTTGAACTCTTTTCCTGTGGTCACTTTAAAAGGTGTGAAGCCAGTGCTGCTGTGAACAGAGTTATTGTAAGCCACCTCTGCAAAAGGGAGGAGGTCAGTCCAGTTTGTTTGTTGGTAGCTGACGTAGCATCTGAGATATTGCTCCACCATCGAGTTAGTGGATTCAGCCCCCCATTAGTAGCCAGATGAAAAGCAGATGATAGACCTTGAGATGAACCAATTAGTTTAAGGAAACTTCTCCAAAACTTAGCTGTGAACTGCGCCCCCCTGTCCAAGTGTCAACACTGCAAATACTGTATATTCTTGCTTTGACAATATGCAGAACTGTCTGGTATTTTTAGGGTTAATGCAGAGCAGAAGAGAGTGGGGGGGGAAAGCCTGGGAAAGAAATAGGAAGAAAACCTTTGACCTTCACATTAATTGGATAACGTGATATATGACAGCTAATTTAGGGAGGGAACATGCTGACAATTTAACTGCTCAGAGGAAATGAATTTCAGACCTTAGCATCAACTTCGTTGTGCCTGTGCTGACATTTTGTAACAATAAATGTTTTAGGAAAATCAATGCCTGGAAGTTCTTTGAAGTGTTTCATTAGCCAGAACCGTAACACCAAGATTATTCACTTACCATGCAGCTGGTAGATGTGTTTCAAAAACATTTTGGTCAGTCATTGGGCAGACGGAAGCCCTTTGCAGGTGATGAAATGAGCCTGCTTTGAAAACAGATCTATCACAGTCCAGATGGCTGTATTTCCTTTACTTTCAGGTATATGTACTATAAAATCCATAGCAATTTCTTCCCATGGTTGGGAAGGGTCTGCCACCAGTTGCAACAACCCAGGGGTTTTCCGTGGAATTCTTTTCATGGTGGCACATACAGCACAACTCCTAACATAGGTTTCCACATCCCGTTTCAAACCCGGCCACCAGAATTGCCAGCGGATGAGGTGTAGTGTTTTTAAATATCCAAAGTGTCCAGCCTGTTTCATGTCATGGCATGTCGGAGACCGTTAAGGTGGAGGGTCTCTGGCAAATATAACTTTCCCCCCTTGTAAGCCAAACCATCCCTGCATGTTAGGGATGTTTGATTGTCTTTGAACCATTAGTCGATGACAAGCTCTTGTTTTATTTTCTTTGCCCCAGGGTCATCAGGGTTAGAGGCTCTTGAAGGTGAGACTCTGCATGGCGTGAGTTGAGAGGCTGGTTGTGGATTGGAGATAATTGCCTCATTAACCTCTTCACACTGGGTTTTGTACTGGGGCAGTCTGCATAGAGCATTAGCTAAGAGGTTTTTTTCCCCCGGTATGTACTTTAAAGTGAAGTTAAAATGGTTAAAGTACTGTGCCCATCGCACTTGTTTCGGGGACAATTTGTGGGGAGTTTTCAGTGCTTCTAGATTTTTGTGATCAGTCTATACCTCAAAAGGTACCTTGCTCCCCTCTAGATAGTGTCTCCAGTTTAATAGAGCCCAGCAGATTGCAAAAGCCTCCTTTTCCCATACAGCCCACCTCATCTCACACTCAGTGAATTTTTTTGAGGTGTAGACGCAAGATTGTAAGGTACCACTCTGGTTCTTTTGTAGTAATACAGCTCCGACAGCCACGTCGCTGGCATCGGCTTGAATTACAAAGGGCTGCCCTGGGCAGGGATGCTTTAGAACCGGTTCAACAGCAAATAGTCTTTTTTAGTTTTCAAAAGCGGTCTGACAGTTCATAGTCCATGCTGGTGGTTGACCCAATTGCGGCTTTCCTCCCCCTTTGCCCGTTTTTAGTAGTTCTGTGAGGAGTAGGGCAATGTCAGCAAAGGAGGGGATGAATTGTCGCTAAAAGTTGGTGAATCCTAGGAAGCTCTGGAGCTGTTTGCGAGTCTTTGGAGGCTGCCATTCAATTACGGCTTTCACTTTGGTCGGGTCTATTTCAATGCCCACGCTGGAATTTCTGTAGCCAAGATAATCTAATTGGGTCTGGTGAAACTCACACTTTGATAGTTTGACATAAAGTTTGGTATTTAACAGTTTCTTTAACACTTTTCTTACTAATTTTACGTGGTCAGTCATATTTGTGCTGTATATCAGGATGTCATCAAGATATACCAGAACCCCTTTGTATAAATGGTCATGTAGAACCTGATTAATTAGTTGCATGAAGACAGCTGGGGGCCCCTGTAGTCCAAACGGCATGACTCTTCCACTCATCTCCCTCCTTTATCCTCTCCCGGTAATATGCCTCTCTCAGGTCTAACTTAGTGAAGAAACTTCCCTTGGCCAGGTGGGTTAGTAAGTCCTTCAGGAGGGGGAGGGGGTATTTATTTCCCATACTCACTGCATTCAGACCCTTATAATCCATGCAGAGATGAAGCAAGCCATCTTTTTTTTCTTTAAACAGCAGACTTGGCCCGTTCGATGAATCCCCTCGCTAGGTTTTTGTCCACATATCACTGCATATCCTCCATTTCAAGGGGGGACATAGCATACATCCTCAGTCATGGGAGTTTGGCTCCCGGTAACAGTTCAATGGAGCAATCATTGGGTCTGTGGGGAAGCAGGGTGTCGCATTCTTTCTCACTAAATGCCCCCGCTAGGTCCCAGTATTTGCTGGGGATGAGCTGCTTGCATGGTTGCGATAAGGCAGCCACGTGCACTAGCTCGTTGGGTGGGCTAAAATTTCCTGTGACGTCCATTGAGTTAAGGGAGGGCTTGGGTTCTATGGGTAATCTTACAGTTCTCAACCTCTTTTCCCACCAGATAAATGGCTTCCATTTGTCCAACCAAGCTAGCCCTAGGATCACAGCCTCAGTCATTTTTGGAGCCACCAGGAACTGAATGAACTCCCAGTGCTCACCTATCTCTAAGCATAGGGGTTTGGTCAATTGCGTGACTAAAGTTCCACCCATTAGGGAACTATCGGCTTGCTCAAACCTCACGGGTTTGGAGAGCAGCTTTGCTTGTATATCCATTTTCAGGGCAAGTGACAAGTTGATGACACACCGGGAGCATCTGGAGTCGACTAGTACTTTTAAATCTACCTGTGCCCCCATTTTAGGGATTATGATTTTGGCAGGTAGCGAAACAGGTGGGACGTGTCAACTCACCATTGGGTCGTTCTCTCCTTCGTCTTCACAGTCATAGGAGGGTAGAGCAGCGGCAGGTCCGGCTTGGATCTCAGCACTCTCCTGTGAGGGGGATGTGACTTGAGCCACTGGTTCCTGCATGATCCAGTTGGATTTCTCTTTCGTTGGCTGCTGGACTGGTTTCTTTGCTGGTGGTCCCAGTCTATTCTGCTGCTGGGGATAAGGGATTGGGCAATTCGCTGCTCGATGTCCCTGTTGTCCACATCTGAAACACTTGATTGGTGGCCCAGCAGGTGTTCTGGGATTCTCTGTAGCTGCAGTGGTTGGAGGCTTTTGGGGGGGTGGCTGTCATTTGGGTTGATTTGGCCTTGACTCGGCTTCTTCTGGGGGTGGTTCCTGATAGCGGGCGAGCTGAACATCTAGTCTTACTGCTGCCTGGTACTACTCTTGCAGCTGATTTGGGACTGCTTGATAGATACAAGCCTGGGAGAGGTGGTCTAGTCCCTCCTTGAAATGTTGGACTAGGGATTGCTCGGGTCACCTCTCTATTCTGCCGGCTATCTTGCGAAACTCTCGTATGTATTCTAGGGCAGGCCTGCAAGCTTGTTTTATTTTGTGGACTTGCTCCTCCACTTTGAGAGCAAAGGATGAGTCCTCGAACCTTGCTCTCAGCCCTAGGAGGAAGAGGTGGGGGTCCTCTAACTCAGGTGCTTGCTCAGTATATAGATTCTTCAGCCACTTGGATGCTTCTTCTTCTAAGCTGGACACGAGCACATTGACTATAGCGGCTGGGTTCGGATAGAAGTAGGCAAAATGATTCAAGTGAGAGCGCACCTGATCATGTAGGGGGAGCAGGAAGATTTTTCTCCACTCTTCATCTCTAGCTCCTCAAGTCTCTCCACCAACTTCTCCACTGACTGACTATGGGCTGCAGACAGGTATTTCCACTCACCCGAGTCCTCAGTGGCAGATGATTTCATGGTTCTCCACTGGTCTGGGGAATGCAACATGCGAGAATCCCCTCTTGGCAGCCTCACCTCATCTGCCTTTGAAGCACTTGATGGGGGCAAGGCTGTCTCAAGGTGTCTGGAGTCTCTGCTGGATTGGGCCCATTCTGATGACCAGATCAGCTGTCCTCACAGTTTGGGCTTTGCCCCCAGTTGGGAGGCCTGAAAAAGTTCCTTCCCCACTGGTGTGCTACCCTCTGGGGTAGCAGCCGCTGCCGGGGTGCTGGTTTCAGGCGTTCTCTATTTCTCCATGCTGAGGTCTTCCCTGAATCTTTGTCAACTTACCCCTCTTTTCTAGGGACAGCAACTGGGGCTCGGGACCCCAAGATAGTTAGGAAAAAGTTGGAGTTTTTGGCTTAATGTCATGGTTCCAACAGATGAAACTCTTCAAAGAACTTTGAGGCATTGTTTACCTTAAAGAATCTTTATTTTGAGTAGCATAGCATCGGCACTGGTATAGTCGAAGGCAAACATTAAATTTCTCTCCCCTGAGCACATAGTATCAAACCACAATTCCCTCCTCCAATTAACAGTCATAAATCACATTCCCCAATTAGCGTGAAGTGTGGGCTTCCTCTCCCGTTCTCCAGCATGCCAATTTCTTATCAGCTCTGGTTACAATAACCTTGTTTCTCACACTAGGTCTAGTGTTGTTATGTCTAGCTGGACTCTCGCTCACATTCCCCCTCCCAGCATCATCTAACTCTAAAAGCAAAAGTAAAAGATGGCTACATTTCCATTTGTTGTCAATGCAAAAACATCCAATATTAGCAGCATTGACACTTTACAGTGTTGCAGACTTTACAGTGTTACAGACTTCAACTCCCAAAATTCACTAGCTAGGAAACTTGCTGGCTGGGGAATTCTTTGAGCTGAAATCCATACATAGCTGAGGTTGAAAAATATTGAGAGAGGGAACAGAGGATGAAACACTGGGAATAGTTATGGTGGGGAGGAGAGGGCTCAGAAAAGATGGCACATATCCTCTATAACAGCCACCGATTCACACAAACATACACATGCAAGCATACATCTTTGCATTCTTTTCTGGGGAATATTGTTTTATAACTTCAACATGGCAACAGCCTTCTAAGGTTAAGTGACATCCCAAGGAAAACTCATGAATGCAAATTTAAAGATTACATAGTTGCATCAGAAACCAAATGCATCTTACTGTAATGTATTGGCCACAACTGTTTTATATCACTTGCTTAATGTCTGACCTACATTGCTATATTGTTTAACAGTTGTTGTTACTGAAAGCCAGACTGGCTGTCTCCAAGCTGATAATGAGGTTTGGGGCTCGAGTCAGTCACCTAGGCAGACTTGAAAAAAAGCTATGTGCCAGGCCTATGGCAAACCAGGCCACATTTCTGCCCTCTGCTGAGGTCATCAGAGGGACCGCCTGAAAGAAGACGCATTCAGGAGAGGTACTTGGGCCCCGGGTCAACACCGAGTAGGGTTCTGCTCCAGCCAAAGGAGCGTATTCCACACTGGTGCCCATTGCCCCCTAAAGCAGAAGCTTAGACTACAGGTCAAGCTTCAAGCAGTTCCATACAAGATGGAACTGGACACGGGCTCAGCCATGTCCATCATTTCACAAGAAACATTCAGGCACCTATGCCATCGTAGCAACAGGTGGGCCAAGCTCCAGCCATCTAATCTACTACTCACAGACTTCCAAAACTCCCGAGTGGTGGTCAAAGGCGAAGCCACACTTCTGGTGGAATTCAAGGGGTTCAAGGGGCTACTAAATGTCGTAGAGATGGAAGGCCAGTGCATGAGCCTCATAGGGCTCGATTGGTTTGATGCATTGGGCATTCAAGTAACTGGCATTCACCGAACACAAGCGGCAGATCTGTCTGCAGTCTGCCAAGAGTTCGCGGATGTTTTCAGTTCTAGTTTGCTGACTATAGTGCACCCTCAACAGAGCACTTCAACAGCACGCGTACCCTGTGCCAGTTGTCAGCCATATTTTGGCATCATTGCAAGGAGGCCGTGTGTTCGCCAAATTAGATTTGGCACAGGCCTATCAACAACTGCCCGTGGATGAGGCCACAGCAGTAGCCCAGACCATTGTCACCCATAGGGGGGCTTTTAAGGTTAAGCGCCTATAGTTCAGGGTGAGTGTAGCCCCAGGGCTGTTCCAGGGAGTGATGGAGCGCACGCTCAAGGGAATTCCAGGGGTTTGCCCCTACTTCGATGATGTCCTCATTGCTGGGGAATCGGTTGAGATTCTGGCTGAATGGCTTAAGGCCGTCCTTCAGTGGTTCCGCGACGCGGGACTTAAACTAAAAAAAGAAAAGTGCAAGATTGGGGTAGAGTCAACCAAGTTCCTTGGTTTCCACATCGATGCCAAAGGCATTCATCCGGCGGAATCCAAATTAAAAGCAATCCAGCAGGCCCCAAGGCCGAAGTCAAAGGGAGAGCTTCAGGCTTTCCTAAGCCTTTTGAATTTTTACCATGCCTTCCTCCCAAACAAGGCCACAGTGGCAGAGCTGTTACACAGGCTGTTGGATAGACAAGCTCAGTGGCAGTGGACCAGTGTCCACGAGAGTAGCTTCCAAGCAGTCAAATCACTGCTGTTGTTAAACTCAGTTCTCACTCATTTCAATGAGTAGCTGCCTGTCTGCATTGCATGTGATGCATCCCCATATGGGGTTGGGGCTGTGTTAAGCCACTTAATGGCTGATGGGAGGCAGAAGCCCATCATGTATTACTCCAGGACCCTATCATCTGCAGAGTGCAACTACGTGCAAATTGACAAGGAGGCTCTGGCCATTGTGGCGGAGTTAAAAAGTTCCATGACTACTTGTATGGCCGCCAGTTCACGGTCTTCACAGACCACAAGCCACTCCTAGGGTTCTTCACCACAAACAAACAGACACCTCAGATTCTGTCTCCTTGAGTGCTGAGGGGGTCTATCTTCCTGTCAGCCTACAACTACAGGATGATTCACAAACTGGGCAAGGAAATGGGCCATGCAGACGACCTGAGCAGGTTGCCCCTGCCACATGTAGAGCCAGCTCCAGCTCCGTCTGCATGCATCCTGGCTATCCAGGATTTGCTGGAATCTCCTCTTCACGCTGGGGACATAGCTGCTGAGACAGCAGCTGACAAAATGCTGAGTTGTGTGCTAAACTGGGTACACACAGGATGGCTGGACAAATGTCCAGGGCCAGAATTTCAGAGTTTCTTCATGAGAAAAGATGAGCTTTCAGCTCATAAGGGGTGCATCCTTTGGGGAAGTAGGGTCATAGTCCCGAGCTCTTTAAGGCCCAGGGTCCTAGAGTCTCTGCACGAGGGTCATCCGGGAATAGTCCGGATGAAGGCACTTGTGAGGAGCTACCTTTGGTGGCCAGGGCTAGATAAAGCCATTGAGGCCCAAATACATGGTTGCTACACGTGCCAGCAACCCAGACCGGAGATGCCGCAAGCCCCTGTCCACCGATGGGAGGACACACACACACCGTGGTCAAGAATCCACATCGATTTTGCCGGGCCCTTTCAGGGACAGCTGTTTCTAATAGTGGTGGATAGCCATTCTAAATGGTTAGAGGTCGCACCAGTCCCTACTATGACTACTGCCAGAACCCTTCAGGAACTGCACAGAATCTTTGCAACACATGGACTTCCAGATGTGTTAGTCTAAGACAATGGGGCTCAGTTTACCACTTCTGAATTCCAGTCTTTCCTCAGGGCAAATCTAATATGGCATGCCACATTGGCTCCCTTTCACCCAGCCTCAAACGGCCAAGCAGAATGTATGGTCCGCACAACTAAGGAATCACTAAAATGGATTGTCACAGGGGATTGGCACCACAGACTGGCAGATTTTCTACTCTGCCAATGCACAACTCCCTGTGCTGCCACGGGCAGAAGCCCTGCCAAACTCAGATGGGGCCGACGTTTGATCACCAAGCTGGACAGGCTGCACCCAGACAAGGTTGCCTCAGACTCTGCTTAGCCAAAGGTACCTCGGAATTTGCAAGTGGGTGACCAGGTTTGGACCCGGAATTACGGGCAAGATGCTTTGTGGGTGGCAGCCGTGGCTGTTAAGGTGTCGGGACCACTCTCTTATGAGGTGGTCCTGGAAGATGGGCGAGTCATTTGCCGGCACATTGACCAGCTGCGTCGGAGGCTAGCAAACCAGTTGTTGGCTCAGGCCTCTCAAGAGGGCTGCACACAAGGGCCGTGCGAGAGCGGCCCAACAGAGGAGCTTGCACACTCCAGCAGAACTCTTACTCAAGGAGTCAGGGAAAAGGCCGTAGGAGAGCTTCCCCTGGACAGACAGACAGTATCCGCTAAACAGGACCGGCAAACTGTGCTGAGGGACAGCCTTGCAGACTTTGCTGCATGATTGGACTTTGGTTTGGGCCAACCGGGACTGGCCAGCCAAAGGGACCTGAGTCAACCTGACTTCACTGGACCTCAGAGTCCTGGTCTACCCAGTCGGGCAGGCGAGCGGGTAGACTGGGAGACCTCTGCAACCCTTAGACGTTCAGAACAGTCAAGAAGGTCGCCTAAATATCTGCAGGACTATGTCCAGCAATTGAGAGTTTGAGCCATCTAGGGGGAAGGGGTGTAATGTATTGGCCACAACTGTTTTAAATCACTTGCTTAATGTCTGACCTACATTGCTGTATTGTTTAACAGTTGCTGTTACTGAAAGCCAGACTGGCTGTCTCCAAGCTGATAATGAGGTTTGGGGCGGGAAACTGTTACTTTAAACCTATTGGTTGCCACCTAGAGGCTAACTGTATAAATAGCTGTGCAGCAGCCTTTAGGGCTGCTTCTGTTCCGAGTTAATAAACTTGTTTGCTGTTTCAACACTCTGCCTCATTCAATGCCTAAAGAACCAAAGATATAACACTTACCTTCACTGATCTATTCAGGAGTCTTTTTCCATGGAAAGAGGCTGAGCCTTGGGATGGCATTGCAGTTGACAAAATTACGTGGATACTGATTGGCTCGGAAAACGAACCGAGGTACCTCGCGGATGTAGGTATTGTCACAGATGATGCGTGGCAATGACGCTGCAGCAAGAGCCTGTCGCTGGGCTGAGGTGAACACTCCACGGTTCTCCCACCAGAACCTGGAAAAAAACAGGAAAATTCTCACATTGAAGAGCAGCCTCCCACATTTACAGAGAATTTCTTGCTGGAATGAAGCAGAACAGAATAACAGAATGAGTTGGAAAGGACCTTGGAGGTCTTCTCGTCCAACCCCCTGCTCAGGCAAGAAACCCTATACCATTTCAGACAAATGGTTGTCCAATCTCTTCTTTAAAAATGTCCAGTGCTTCTGGAGGCAAGTCATTCCACTGATTTATTGTTCTGTCAGGAAATCTCTCCTAAGTTCTATGTTGGTTTTCTCCTTGATTTTTTTCTGTCCATTGCTGAAGCCATTAAAGTGCATGTTATTGCAAAGAACATTCTTTATTTCAGAAAGCTGTCCTTTAAATTTATTTTTCAAAAATCCACTTGTCCTTAAAGGCAATTTAAAGATTGCTTTTAAAAATTAATTTATACAGGTAGTCCCCAGCTTACGACTACAATTGACCCCAAAATTTCTGTTGCTAAGTGACACATTTGTTAAGTGAATTCTGCCCCATTTTACGACCTTTCTTGCCACAGTTGTTAAGTGAATCACTGCACTTGTTAAATTAATAACACAGTTGTTAAGTGAATCTGACTTCCCCATTGATTTTGCTTGTGAGAAAGTAGCAAAAGCTGATCACACGATCCTGGGACAGGATCAATCCTGTCATAAATATGAATCAGTTGTCTAGTAGCTGAATTTTGATTACATGACCACAGGGATGCTACGATGGATGTAAGCATGAAAAATGATCATGCCACTTTTTCAATGACATTATAACTTTGAACGTTTACTAAATAAACTGTTGTAAGTTGAGGACTATCTGTATAACATTTGATTTTAGATATTTTTATTAGAATATGTATTTTTGTAAAAAAAATTGACTTTGCTTTTGAATTTTCCTTGGTAAAGAAAATTTATGAACATAAACAATTAAAATTAAACAATTAAAAATTTTCAGAAACTTATTCAGATTTGCCCCTTTTTCAGGTTTGATCTTTATTTTTTCCCAAGAAAATATTGTCACTATATGTACAGCAGATTATAATCAGCAATGTCTTCCCAAATTTTCAAATATTTCACTAAAAATTTCCCAGTTTCACTGCTATTTTATTTTTAACATGTAAGACATTTAGAAGCTGAATCAAATCATTGGCTCACTTTGCCCTATAATAGAGTAGAACCCAAGAAGCAGGGGCTTCCCAACATTTAAAATATATTTTATTTACTTAAAAAGGAAAATAAGATTTTTCCCTCAAATAATTACTAGCTGTGGTAATTATTCAACAGAGTCTTATGAAAACAAAGGAATAAACAAGAAATGTAAACAAGTGTAGATGCATCTTGTGAACAAAACCATGAACACCTCTAAAAGTTATTAGTCCCTAGGAGGATTTTTTGCCTGGTGAATATTATTGTCCACAAGGTATGGTCAAAGAGTCAAGATGGCAGCCACAATGATGATTAGGGGACTGGAGGCTAAAACTTACAAGGAACGGTTGCTGGAATTGGGTATGTCTAGTTTAATGAAGAGAAGGACGAGGGGGGACATGATAGCAGTGTTCCAATATCACAGGGGCTGCCACAAAGAAGAGGGAGTCAAACTACTCTCCAAAGCGCCTGAAGGCAGGACAAGAAGCAACGGATGGAAATTAATCAAGGAGAGAAGCAACCTAGGACTAAGAAGAAACTTTCTGATAGTTAGAACAATTAATCAGTGGAACAACCAGCCTCCAGAAGCTGTGAATGCTCCAACACTGGAAGTCTTTAATAAGAGATTGGGAAGCCATTTGTCTGAAATGGTATAGGGTTTCCTGCCTGAGCAGGGGGTTGGACTAGATGACCTCCAAGATCCCTTCCAACTTTATTATTATTGTTGTTGTTGTTATTATTATTATTATTGTATGATTGAAACTTCAAACCATTTTTAATGTCTGATATATATAAAATAGGCTGGAGTTTTGATTGCACCATTAAGGTCACCATTTCGATTTTTTTTTTAAACCAATCCTGAGGAGACTCCTGATTTTACTCTTTCTGAAATATTTCAATAGATTCCCTGCTGTTTTTTGTTTCTTTTCTGATCCTTTTCATTCACCTTATTCCTCTCTCCTCCTCATTTTTTCCTACCCTTTATTTCTAAAGCTAATTATTCCCCTTCCCTATTATTTAGCTTGCCTCCTGGGGTTGTGGGTTTTCCATCACTGGAGACTTTCAAAAAAATAGACTAGACAGCCATTTGACTGGGGTGGGATAAGGCTCTACCTTGAATAGGGGGCTGAAGTAGAAGACTCCAAGGTCCCTTCCAGCCCTCTGATTCTATGACTCTATTTCTCTTTTTTAATGTTTACATCAATTTTAATCAGTAATTATTTATTTGGGGGTGATGGTTACAAGGTGGAGCAAATTCCAGAGATGGTTTCAGCTAGAGTTGGTAACCCTAGGTTAATATGGGAAACTGAACAAAACAGAGATTTTTGCCTGTGTTTTTTAGGAATATAGTTTTTTTTTTAGGGTCCATTTTCCTTCCAGGTTAATAAAGTATTTGGGAAAGCTGAGAACTGAACCTTATTCATTCAAAGCATGTCTTCTGTCCTTGAGTAGCAGCACAACTTTCTGTTTTTCTTTATTGTAGTGAAACAACTTTAGGCCCATTTGCTATATACTGTAGAAGATCAAGGGGCCACAATAAAATGACAGGTTTTATTTGCTCACCTGTCCCCATCACGAAGGTTTTGGAACTGTTTCCGAAAGATACATGCCAGCAGAGGCCCAACTCTGCCATTCCGGATGAGGGGCTCAGCCACTCCCCCAATCCAGAGGTCGATGTTCCTGGGCGTCCCGTAATGCCGAATGAACTTCTTGGCCAGCTGAGAATTCTGGAGGACCCGGGCCAGATCATTTTCATTGCGAGGTTGTGAGAGGCCACAGAATTGTCTCCAGGAATTATAACCTATAGAACAAGAATGGTGGTCAAGAGTTCTGCTCGTCTGAAAAATGGTGTTCTCCCTAGTATCATTCTATGTTGCAATCTCAAAACATCTTTAAGGCTGAGCTGTAATTTTTCACATTATTCTTGGCTATTTGGCAGCGATCCACAACCTCTGCTTTTTGCTACAAAATGGCAACACTCTACTCTTGTTACCTGCTAGACCGTGATCTCGGCCACGCTGCATGTTCAACGCTGGCAGATCCAATCCTAATTTTTCAACTTGTTGGAAGAGTCGGTCTCGCAGAGCCTCTACTACTATCTGATCTTGTCTCG